AATTCCATTAGGTTATTGGATTTTCTTTGGGAGCAGAAAATTTAAAAAAATAATGCACACCTTGAGTGTCCACCCAGAGGCTGTCGGCATCCATGATGGAGTCGTCGATGGTGGTCTCGTCCTTGTAATCGTCGTAGGTCTCGGTCTTGTACTCAGAGAGAGCAGCCACGTCTCTCTCGGGGGAGGCCGGGGCCTCGGGGGAGCCGTCCCTGGGTTCCGCCTGGGCTTCGGCCGCCTCTTCGCCTTCAGTCTCCTCCTCGGCCCGAGGGGACGGTCTCCTCTCCACCTCTGGCTGCTCGAGGGCCGCAAAACGCACGCTGTGGGAGCCCGACTCCCCTTCATCAGTGGTGGTTTGCACGACAGTGATGAAGTCGTCCTCAATGGTCACAACAGACTCAATCACGCCTTTGTGTTCACCCGGGCAGGTCTCCAAAAACTCCTCCCTGACACCCGGGACGCCCAGGTCAGCAATCTGAAGGGTGTCTGAGCGGAAAAGCAGTTTATCGTACTCTCCCCGGGCTTCTATCTCTTCCTCCTCAATCTGAGCTTCTGCTGGCTCAGCCCCGACGGCCTCAAACAATGGCTCTGTACTGTCAGAGGGCGTGATGGAGATATCTGGGGTGTCTTTGCTTTCTCCTTTGGGCGGCTGAATGAATTCCAGCTGGGCATCCACTCTCTCATCTGTCTCAGCCTCTGAAACAGCAGGTGCACAAGGTATTTCCACTGACAATTTGATGGCAATCTCATCTTCTTGAATTAGAGAAGATTCTGGGGACGTTTCCTTCTTGCCCTCGTCAGGCTTCAGGGACTCCATGGTCAGGCTCTCGTGCTCACCACTGGACTCGTAGGACTCCTCTTTGTCTACGGCCTCCTGGTGTACCAAGTCAGGCTTGGCTACTTTCTCCTTGACTTCTGTCTCACTGACTCTGGTGCCTTCTTTCATGTGGCCCAAGTCAACACCCATAAACACATCTGCCTCCTGAGGGGTCGGGGATAAGACAGTGAGGTCCTGGGTAGCCTCGAATTTAGGCTCTGTTGATTTTCCAGCATCTACTTTTAGCCCCGAGGCCATCTGTCCAAACTCACTGATTTTAACATCTAAGTGACCCTGCTCAGCTTTCTTTGCAGCAAAATCCAGTTCTGATTCAGCTCCTTTGGCTTGTTCTACTTCAGCTACCTCTGGCACTGAACTGAGACCTTTCTCTGCTTTCTCAGCCATGACAGGGGATGCATCTTTTGATACCATCAGTTCTTTGGCCAAAGCATGCTCGTAGGTTACCCCTAATCCAAAGGTTTCAACTTTGTCACCAGCCTTTTCTGTTTCCCTGGCATGTTCTTTTGAATCAGTATGTTCCTCACTCTTTTCTAGTACAGTATCCAGCTTATCATTAGCTTTCCTCTCCTGATCAAACTCCCTACCCAGCCCTGGTTGGGGGGATGCTTCTTTCTCAGCACTGAACTCATCTTTGACTCTTCCGGCAGCTGCCAATTTTACTTCAACCAGTGAAAGGTCTGTGGCCAAATCTCTTCGTGCTTTATCATCAGTGCCTTCGTAAAAAGAACCACTCTCTCCTGATAAATTCTCACTGTCTTGAACAGGTGATGGGAGTGGGACCGTGTATTTATTGAACACACAGTAGCCCAGGTCTTCAAGCTGACTGTCCGTTTTAACAATGACATGGTTTTCATCAGTGACAGGGGCCAAGCCAGTACTACTCTCCTCAATGACAGTCTCTGATGGGACTGATTTCCTCCTGCCAACCTCAGCGTCTGCACCCACAGAAGCTAGTCTTGATCTTGTGCCTGCCAGATCTAGCATTTCAGGCAGGTCAGGGGCCATGACAGTACCATTTTTGTAATAATCTTTGGCTAGGAATGGCGATTCACACACAGTCTCAACTTGAGTATTTCCCTCTCTGGTAGCTTTTTCTCCCTCTATCTGTTCTTCTTCCTCTTTGCTTTCTATTGGGAAGCAAGGGGCTTTCTCCACTGCAGGGGTAGTGGCTGGAAGGTAATCATCCCCTTCGTCCATACTTCCACTGGTGTTGGTTAGAATATCAGAAGCCAGAGGAGAAAGATCATGCCCCCGACCAAAGTTAAATCCAAGGGCTATGGAATCCAGGCAAGACATGGGCAAGTTGATTGACATGCTTCTTTGTTCTATGGCAGACCTGCCACCAAGTCCTAAACTCCTGCTTAGTGTCAAATCGTCCTTATTCTTACTGTGGAGATCCCTTTTCTCCCCATACACTTTTGGATCAATCGTGAACATTCTTTCTTGAGGAGAACTGGGTTCTTCAGGTAAATCAGGTGGATAACTCTTTGCAAGAGTGCTGTACCCTGCTTCTTGTGCTGGAGCACCAGGCTGAGATTCTTTACCTGCCTGAAGTCCCTTGTCGCCATGTTTATGCATGGGAGATACAGTATCAAAAGACTCTTGGGCACTTTCTCTTGTGTCACTCAGTTCATAGTAATCGCTGCCTGGCTGGAAGCTTTTGGTCACTTCTTCTTTCAAGGCAGATGTTTCAAAGTACTTGGACATTCCTGACTTATCTTCATAAAACGGCATGTCAAGCTCAGCTAATGTTGCAGCCCCAACTCCCTCAACCTTATTATCTCTGTCAGCAATTTTTTCTTCAAATAGGTCCTCGATAGCATTCTTTTCACTTAGCGCAGCTGGTTCTTTCGTGACTTTCTCCAGTGTTTTAGAGGTCAAAGGCGAACTTGTAACAGGGAATGACTCCTGTTTTAATGTAGGTTCTTGGCCTTTCTGGTTTTCTTTTGAGAAAGTGTGCTCTGCAAAGGGCTGAATTATACCTGTTTCTTTATCTGTCAATTTGGGGGCTTCGCTCTCTTCAAGCTTTAGCTGAGGTTCCCTTTCAGTAACTGAAGATTCCTGCCCACTAAGGGTGGACATCTCTTTTTTCTGCACACTTTCTTGCTTTATTGCTCCTTTTTCTTCTCCTAAAACTCTCTCTGGGACACATTCTTCTACAATCTGAATGTGGGCATCTTTGGGTGAGGTAACTGCCTCCGAAGCTGGTACTTCTGCCATTTTGTGAGATTTATCCTTATGGGGCTCTTCAACTTTAGAAATGTCTTTGGCTGCTACCAGGCCACTGGTTTCTTCCAGAGATTTTTTGTCATCTGGCTGTAATAGGGCAGGGGCAAAAGGTGATGCTTCTGCAATTATTTCATTCTTCATGACATCTGAAGGGAGAGTGAAGCTTCCACCATGAAAAGGACTCGGCATGGGAGAATCAAACTGTTTCCCTTCCCATTTTGGGATATCCTCAAATACATCTTTTTTCCTCATGGGTGTTAGGGGGCCAGGAGATACTGGAGCAACTAAACCCCACTCATCCTTTGCTTCCACTGGCATTTCGATGAACCAGTCCTTTTGTTCTTTTGGACCTGGGGTTTCTGCAGGGAGGCCAATACCAGGTACCACTAGGCTTGGTTCTGTCTTCTGTTTCGAGTCTTCTAGGCCAGCACCAAGAGGGTGCCCAAACAGAGTGAGAGGCGCTCTTCCTTCTTCTGTGCCTTGTCTGTCCTTTTTATCCAGGGAAGTTTTAGTTGTCTCAGGCTGAGAAACTAATGCAGCGTGTTTAAAGTCTTCACCAGGCTTACTTTGTTTCTCTGGCTCCCTTTCCTCCTTGTCTAATGGCTCAGCTAAAGCGGCAGTCAATTCCTGTTGGTCATGGAACTCCATCTTCGAGGCTGTAAGTAAACCTGAAGTAATTGGGTTGATTTTTTTAAAAAAACAATAGGCAAGTGCTTTCAGGCAGTAAGCTTAAAATTATATTTTGAAATGACAAATGAATGGCAGGGTAAAAAGAAAAACTATGGAACATGCAAGCATGCTACCCGTTTAAAAATCAATATGAAAATGTCAAGATTGAGATATATTTGTACTACTGCTAAAATGAGCTCTCATTGTGAATTAATGCCTACAGGAATCAAAATAGAGTATACTGTGAATTTTTTTTTGGTCTGTTTAGTCTCTCTAAACAGTATGCAATATGTATTGTAGTAGAAAAAAATTTCATATACCTTCTTCAGATAAAAATTATGAATTAAAGAATATTGAATATATAGCTAATAATAGGGTACAAAAGAATATATATATATATATATGTATATATAGGACTAAATATGGGAAAACATTGATTTCTACTGAACCTTTTCATTTGTTTTCTCATTTAAAGTGCATTTGTAAGCCATGGGCAGAAGTCCAATTAATTTATAATAAGAGTTAATAGTTTCAATTTTTTGATCAATAAATGCCAGGAACAACTTTGGGGGCATTGAAAGATTACTAAAATAATTTTTGAAAATTCATTGGGATTAAATTTCAGGAATATAAATAAACATTTGCTATTGACTTTATATGATATGGTCTAAGAATTGACAAGTCAATTTCTAACATGTATTCAAAATTCTTAATTCCTGATCATTACTTAGTCTGTATGACAAATGTAAGAAAATCTGAATTATAATGTTAGTACTAGGAAGTCATGTGAATAACAAAATTTTTAAGAGAATCAACTATAAAATATCTTTTTCTCCTTGATCATGACCTCATTCTCTGGAACACATCCAGCTGGAAGCATTCACCAGTATTGCCTTTAGAGATGCTTCACAGAAATTAAATGAATCTTTTTTTTTTTAATTTGTTCACCAATCAAAAAGGGTTCAGAGTCTCACTTGTATTTTAAGGTCAAAGGTATTTCACTGTGGTCACTAAGGTTAATATAATTATCTGGAAAAGATCTGGAAGGGAAATAATAAAATTCAATCATCTCTCGAAGAGCAAGTGTATGGACCATCATTACCTTATATACTTGTGTGTCCTGTTGTAACAATAGAAAAGAAATAGTTTATGAACTTCTAATAAAGATTAGATGAATGAAAACCCAAGAGATATGGGGATGATCAAAGGGGTTGGCTGCCATGGAAAGGAAATGATATGAGAAGCATCAGCAGGAGCTTTTAAGGAAACCAAACCAGTCTTCACTGAAGCATAAACAACATAGCATATCACGGTTGCAAACAAAAACGAGTCTATCATTGAAGCCTCTATGTGCCAAAATTCAACTCTGCGATTTGAAATAAAAGCATATGAATTGCTGTCCCCAAAATAAAAAAATAAAAATACACATGTATTAGCAATGTGACTGGCAAACATTTGAGATGAAGGGGTGCGGGGACAAAAAGCTAACATAGCGCCATCAGCCTGGCTGCAAAGCGTATTGTATCATGGCAAAGTAAAACCAGGAATCAGCTGCAGCAGTGGAAAACGAAGCTGCCTCACGGCACCTGCACAAGCCACACCCTCTGCACAGGAAGCCTAAATCAGTGGTCTTGGGATCATGAGAAGGCTCAGCGATGGAAAAGCATTGGAAAGGCATCAGGTTGGTAAGCTGGTGGAGAGATCATTTGCAACAAAACACATGCAGATCCTAAGAAAGACACACCTTCCCTGGCAGAGGAAGGGGTCTTTACTTCTGAAGACACCTCCGTGACCTCTTTTTTACTTTTCTCCTGTGGGGCCCCTGCTGGGGCACTCTCTCCGGGAACTACTGGGGCCTCCATACTAGATTCCACTTGGCCCTCACTGAGGCCCTTGGGTTGGTCTGAGGCCTTGGCAGCCCCACACTCTTTCCCAGGAAGAGTGGCAAGTTTCTCTTCCTCAGCCATTGGAACCTCTAGCGTTTCTTCTTCTTAGGGATGAAAAAGATGTTGACATCATGAGCACAGAACAATGCACACACAACAGAAATATCCAAGGAACACTTTCAGCTCCATGATACTGAACTCAGGAGAATCTCTTTTACCATTTGGATGAGCAAATGCATATTCTAATGCAACACACATTGGGTACTGCTTGGAAAAATTAGGTATAATCTGCTAATAAGGATGCCTTTTAAAGTCTAAATAAAATGTCATTTGTTTTAAAATTTGAGAGCTGAAATGGTTTTATCACTCCATTACCACTTAGTGGTAATGGCAGCAAGTTGCACGCATGTGAGAAGCTTGTTGGAAGTAAGAGATGGTGTTGCCAGATAACAGATGGTTATGAAAAGATAGATGCATTGATGTACTGAAAAAAAACACACACTTTACATTTGTTAGACATGTGCTGTTTTCTCCAATGCAAGAAGTCCCTACATACAAATTTCCAAGTACTTTATTTAAAACATGCAAAGATTGCTAAAGAACTCCGGGAATAAAAAAAGCCTGGCCTCAACATAATATCCAATCAGTTATCTTTACAGCTTTATCATGAAGTCTACTAAAACTATTTAAAGTATAATTTACTTAGTATTTCTATGGTGAAAGACTGCCTAACTCAATTTATTTTACCTTCACAACACTATATGATATTAGAGAATATAAAAACTTTAAAAGAGCGAGTAAAATATTATGAAAAACAAGGCTCAGGTACAAGTTCAACCTATTTAGAAAAATGTACCTCTGGGACACAACTGTGTCATATTACTAAACCCCCTGAAATGTCAGTAATGTAGTTCATGTGTAGTTCTCTTTGACACTGAACAGGAAAGAAAATGTGTGTGTTATCTATAAAATCTTATTTCTGCAATTCAAAAGAAAACCACCAAGGAAAGATAACTGCCTGGCAACCAAATATCACCTCAAAAGATGTGTATTACATGCAAAAATGTTAAAACAAACTAAGGAAGGCCAGGAATTATCCTGCTCATTTACATTTCAAATGCCAGTAAAATAAATCTGATTTTATCACTTAAGAAGTTAGAGGAAATATATGTAAGCTATTTTGTAGTTTTGCAAATAAAAGATTCTTATAAAAATTCCTCTGAAACTAGTACTCATTGTTTCAATGGCCCTGTGAGAAAGACTACAGACAGAAAGAAGTTTTCTTTTTTGAGAAATATTAAAACCCTTGGAGTTGGGGGAAGAGCAGAGAAATACTTCATTTATTCCTCACATTTAGCACTCGGACACTTTCCTTTTTGTAACTTAGCTTCAGAAGTAACATTTTAAAAATTCTGATTCTAATTTATTAAGGCAATTTTTATAATACCTTAGAATTAGAGATTTTGATTACAGCTAAGAGACTTTTAATATAGCTGCTTTACTAATATAATCTCATCAAATAAAGCCTAATCAAGTTAACATGTTTTCCAAATCCATGTAACTTTCAGCCTTCCATTTTATGATTTTCTATAAATCATGTTTATTTCCACTGCACCTGTTCTTTATTCAAAAAGTCACGTATTTTTCTTAATTGTTTTAAGTCCACACTCTTAGAACTTAGTTTCACTCGATATAGGTTGTATTTCTCTATCAGCGTGTCTAAGTCATTGGTGATTTTTGTTTTCCAAAAGACCCTGGAAGAAGTTTATTATCATGAACAGAGTTGGTGAGCTAATTCCCCATTGCCTTGGAACTATTTAATGTTACATTAAGTATTATCTCATATATATATATAAACCTCTTCACTTAAGCAAGTTACTTTTGTCTATTTAAAAATAACCTCTTCACCTAGGCAAAAAATTTTGCTCTAATTATTTTTTTCTTTATAAAACTACATAATTAGAACGAGATACGTTGCAGCTTATTGCTCATGTCATAACCAGTTGTAGACTAGAGTCTCCCGTCTTCATAAAGCTGGAATGACAAGGCTGCGAATCTTTTCCTTCACTTTAGTTCTACTGATGCAAGCCAATATTTAGTCACCTGGAAGAGCCTCTGTAGTTTCTGCAGATAATTAAATGACTTGGAGATATAAATTTATTCCATAATATTTATTCTACCCTAAACAGATTCTTCAATTTTTCTCTTTTAAAAAAATATCCCATTAACATGGCACTAAAGAGATGGCTAATTCTATTTATATCTGATCCTAGTGATATGTATCCAAGGAAGAAAAATCACATTCAGGGTCATTTTCTTTTGTTTGGATATGAGACTATATTCTTCCTGGACTGATTTATTCACAGGGAGCAGAAAGGAGTCATACTTTAAACTTTTTTGGTTCCTCCCCTCTGCCCCCTCCCCTCTTTTGGCTTCCTTTTCAGAAGTAATGATACAGAAAAAGGAAGTTCTCACAGGCCTCAAGTAAGGCTCCTTTTATGTGATTATTGAGGCCTTTGGATGGATATAAGCTATATAGGGACTTCCCTTTCATATGGAAAAAACAGGCTCATATCCCTCCCACCCCAAGTATAAAGGCACCCTCAGGATAATGCATGTGGTCAGAGCTGCAGGCTGGGGAGGGGGACCAGAAGGGGACCATGCTCGGTTCACCTTTCTCCTGGCCTAAGTGGGCCTCTGCACTCTGCGCTGGGACACTGGGGAGCACACTAGAGGTGTTCCAGTGTGAGCTGAACAAAGGATGCTCATAGTACTCCTCATCGGAATTGCAAGGGTCATCCTCAGGCACAGACACCGAGATGGAGGGGGCTAGGAGTCTACGCCTCTTCCCGCTGGTGGCAGGCTCGTGGCTGGGGAACCTGCGCAGAGGACCCACTGGATCCTCAGCCCCTTCATCTACAAACAGACACACAGGAAGAAACTGCAGGAGAACTGGACAAGACAGACATGAGATCAGACAGACAGACAGACAACACCTGCACAAGGACGCAGAGGACCACAGAAGCAGCACAGTGGGATGCAGAAGAATTAGCAAGACCAAGCTGATGGAGGGTGGGAGAGAGTGAATGTTTCATGCTTCAGTAGCCACTGAAGTTAAGCTGACACGTAAGTAATCTTGTCATTGATCCAATGAATTAAATGCACTGACACCCCTACTGCATAATAGACATTATCTGTACATTCCCCTCAAACAAGGCAGAATAACCTTGGAAACACTGGCATAGAAACAAAGCATCACAAAACAAGCGCATCCTTTGGAAGAAATTCTTTCAAGTAGATTAAATCCTCTTGTGCTTATATCAGTATAAGTTAAAAAAAAGAAGGTTGTTAAGATCTGTTGGATCATGGAGGGAAACAGCCCTATTTGAAGCACGACCTTAACTATCTACGATGCTCACATAGTTAGCATTTTGGTTAATTTAATTTTTAGTTAATGACTTTTATCAGAAAGCAATGTTTAATTTCAATCTTGTTAAGAAAAATCTCCAATGCATTATTTTTCTTTCCCGCCTTGCTAAGAAAAGTGCAGTCAGCTGGGCTCCCTCTTTGGATGCTAAGTCCTCAGGGCATCCTTCTGAACATGGTTCTCATTTGCATGTCTGTGAAAGTATGTGGCTTTAAGAAAGTCTCTAGTATTATAAACTTGTTTCCATGTGTGTTGCTTCTCTTCTGAAAGCTCAACAGAGATGCAATTAGCGAGAATTTCTACAGAGTGGACTTCGGATTCATGGAGACTTTATTCTAAGCAGTTTATTTGTACTACTGGCTCTTGGTTGTTTTTATATTTCGACCCCCTCATTACATATTTGTCATTGAAATGCTAAAAGAACTGCTCTCATTTCTATCCTTTCCTATGTCTTGGCTTAGAAATATGCATTATTTAAATATATTTCCTTACATATACAAGGGTAGATTAGTCCGTTTCACATCTGGATTCCTGTGTATTTTAATGAGCTTCAACGATGATGACAATGAACAATACTTGGCTTCGGATGTGGGTGCAGACACTGCAGCTCAGACCTATGTGTCAGATTACTACATTTGCTAACCACTATTTATTGACTTATACAGAGAATAATTTTAAAATTTCATAGTTCTCAATAAGAACTCTATATAGTTTTTATTCCTAAATTTAAGCAGGCAGAATTACAGCATTTATTTGAAAATGTTCTGTATTATTAAAGCACTAACTAATTTTCAGCAACCAAGTGCTGGCAACTGGAAATCATAAGGATACTAAAATAACATTTGGTAGAGGGAATACTTTTAATCTTTTTGAGCACATTATTTACTGATGGCTCCTTGGAAGTTGTTTCTGGATGGGTTCTCAGAACTTTCTCAACCACGATGCTTATTATATCATGGGACAGCAGAAGCCTAAAATTACATCTGATATTCTTAGTTTAACTCGGCACGGTTTCTCAGCAGAGCAGATAATTGGCTCTAATCTGGCCTACAACACTGGCTGAACCATAAGGCCTGGGCTTGTCGCGTGTCCCAGCCATTCACCTTTCCTCAGTGACTCTCTGAGGCTGTGGGCTCCCTCCGTATGCAAGTTACCTCTCAAACTGCCAATACGTTCAACAGACTGGAAGGACAATCAACGAATGAAAACGGCTTATTCACCTCTCCGCTTTTCACCAGTTATTTCCTGGGGTACAGAGCAGACTGCAGTCCGAAACTAAGAATTTAAAGCTGAGTGCTGATAGTCGAAAGATGCTACTCCTTGGACTGGTTTAAACCTCTTGAAGCTTTTGACCTCCCCTTTCCTGTTGCTGCTGCTCTTTTTGAAAGAGAACATGTGAAAACAACCCAGTCTTGCTTTAGGTCTCTAACATTTCAAAGAAACAGTATTTTCTTTCTGAAAACTTTGACTCTAGGCAGAGAACAATAAAAGCAATAACAACTGTCAAGGGCTGCGATGGAAAAGCAGCTTCTCTGTAATGTTTGTCTGGACCCAAGCCAGGTAACTTCATAAAGAATGCCTGGCAAAGTTCAGTCCTCTCCTGGTGCTATGAGCACTCCGTACCCCAAGTCTCTGTTTAGGACCCATGAGCCTGAAGTCCCTCTACGTTATAAGTCCCAGAGGTGTGGCAGGGACATGATGCTTAGAGGACCATGACCAGCTAAGTCCAACAGTGTACGTGGTTCCAATGATAGTGAGAGAAGCCATTAGATCCTCATTTGCTATAGAATTGTGTCTGGCAGGTGCTCTTGGTTCAAACCTAATGGAGGTGGGATAACATAATAATTATAAATAAATGAATTAGTTATTTGGGAGTAATTTGAAAAATAAAATGGAAATTAGTCCAGTAGTTTATAACAGATTAAAGGGAAAAAAAAACACCTGTCATTGGAAGATCACATTGTTTTCATAGTCCCACACTAAGAACCTAGATGAGAAACAGCTTTAGGGTGCAACGGAGCTGTGGTGGCAGCGGCTTAGATCTGGGTTTGAATTGTGGATAAGCCATATACCGGCCATGACATCCTGGGCAAGAAGTGGAAGGATTACCTCTCTGTGGGTTGCTGGGAGGATTCTACGAGAAGAGATCTGAGAAGGCGCTGAGCACAGTGCTGGACTCCGCACACATCAGCACCTCTCAGCGCGCTCAAGCAAACGATCGTGCACCTCTGCTCTTTATTATCAGTTGACACATCAAAGCTAGGCCTGGGAGATTTATGAAAAAGTGAACTCATTTCATAACAGTTAATTTTGCTGTTTAAGGTCAGAACTGAATGCCTCTTTTTATTATAATTACACATGCTTTTGGGGACACCTCTTTTGCCACAAAATAATTCCATTTCATTTTAATAATGTGATATCTGAAAGAACACGGTAGCCTTATGAACCTTGGAGGTTTACATAGCTCTTGTTCATCATGCTAACCTTCAAAAATGGTTTCAGTGGAGGAATACATTTTTCCTAACTTGCATTCATACAAACTTTTTTTTAAAAGAACACTTGAAAATGTATATTGGGTTAAAGTAAGGTTTGCCATACCTGAGCTTAGTATGTCGGCCCCCTTTGGAACAACTGAGTAGTCACTTTTATAGGAGACTGCGTCTCATGGGGTATCTGGGACTCAGTGATTTCTGTCTGTCTTGGCATCACATCTGCCCCACAGTCAATGGCTGAAGGTGCCTGGCTCCATGTACATTGTTTTCTGCCATCTCTAAGCCCGTCCCATTCTGCAGCTTTTGACTGAGGACTCCTTCATTTGCCAACTGAGTTTGCTGCCCCAGAATGATATAAGGGAAAACTGCTTTCAGATTAGCAATTATAATGTTGTCACGTCATGGACATAGGGAAAAACCACCCTAGAATTCTGGAGCAAACCTAAGAGGGCAGAAAGACTCCTGGTTCTGTTTTCTGACGATTCCATTGTTCTGGCACGGGCCTCCAAATTCTAACAGTCCAGTCCAAGTGACAACCATTATGGTTGGCCAAACAGAAAAAGGGGATTAATTTGAAAACATCCTAACTAGTACAGAATCAGTTTACGATACCTGGGTTTCCTAAGTGTGCGGCTGTTCAATTTTTTTCATCAAAATCCCTTTAAATGTTTCCCAGAATAAGTACATATTCTGAGAATAGTTAATATTACATTGATTATAATAAATAAATATTCATAAATTACAGAAATGAACATATTAAGTCATTTTTAGTGGAAGCTCTCTCACTCTTTCCCTTTGGGAAAGAACAGCATTTAAAATGTTTGGTAATTAATAAAAATTAATCGTCCCCAAAATTATAGAACTCAATTTAACCCAAGAGCTCTTGCATTTGTAAAAGGGGATTGGGCTGTGGCAGTCACTGTGCCCTTAGAATAGTTGTTTTGAGGGTGTGTCAAAAAGGGTAAAAACCCTGTAAATGAAAAACCCCCACCTGTTCCATTTCCACTGGACCTGCTTTGAGCAATACGTTAACTGAATTTCGGCTGCGTCATTACAAACCAGTTGGTTTGATAAATTGAAGAGTTGAATCCTGTCTTGTCACTAATTTATTTTCTGATAAAACAAACTTTAGAAAGTTTTTACACATACTTAAGGAGTGGTTAAAAATAAAAGAGAGGGGATGGTCTGATTGTCTAGACCACATATCTTTCACATGTTTAAGGTGAGAATATTACTTGGTCTTTTATTTATTTATTTTTATTTATTTAAAAAAAAAAATCTTTATTGATTTCAGAGAGAGGAAGGAAGAGGGAGAGAGAGAGAGAAACATCAGTGATGAGAGAGTCATTGATCGGCTGCCTCCTGCACGCCCCCTGCTGAGGATCGAGCCCGCAACCCGGGCACATGCCCTGACCGGGAATCCAATCCCGATCGCCTGGATCCTAGGTCGAGGCTCAACCGCTGAGCCACACCAGCCGGGCATATTACTTGGTCTTTTAAGTGAATGAGGTAGAGTTTGTAAAATGCATACTTTTAAAATATAACTTAAAAAGTGGTTATCCTCTTAAAAGCAAATCATTAGGACTTTGTATAGCTTAATGTTTTTCGAAAAAAATCAATAAGAATTAAGTTTGAAAAATGTTCAGAATAAAATATCTTTGAATTGCTTTCAACAGGAAGTGGCAGGTCGACATTTTCTTAAAATGTACAGAACAGCCTGGGGAGAACAATCCTGAAATATAAGGGAAGGTTATACTCTGTAAAGTAACACCTAAGTTACTAAAATGTAAATGTGATTGTATATTTATTTATATTTTCATTATCTTCATTGTAACAATCCCCCAAGAGGCAGGCTGGTGAATTCTCAGACGATGGATGACCCCAGTGCCCTTTCTGCTCCGACTGCCATATAAGCGTGAGGAGAGTCATTACTTGGTGTCCAGCTGCCTTGGAGTGACTCGCCTTCCCCTGTCTGGGTTAAGGGGGTTCTCTGACTCTTGAAAGGCTGTGAGCAGGGGCTCGGGAACAGTTCAATTACCCGAGGGGAGTAGGGCCGTCAGGGACGCCTGTCCACTGCATTCGAGTGAAATGCAGGCCCTTGAACCCAGCTGGCTGCTGCTTACTCTCGAATTCTTCATTCATCTACCCACCTCCTCTTCGATCACCGTGAGCGAGACACTCCTTCAGCTCCTGCCCCCCTAAATGCCTTGCATACCCTGGTCTCTCTGCCCAACATGCCCCTTTCCTCCCCTCTGCTTCACCAGCACTTCCTCAGGCTTCTAGGTTCAGCTTCTTACCTGTCCCTTACCTAATCCAATAAAACGAGATTTTTCTTGTTCTAACGTAAAATTCCCTGTTCTTTTTCTCCCTAGTACTAATCCAGTTTGAAATTATGTGGAAGCTTATTTATTGGATTTCTGTTCTCTTCACTAGACTGTGTGATCCTTACAAATGGGGATCATGTCTGTTTTGCTCACTAATGTATACCCAGAATTTGACGAGTACTGGATACGTTGTAGGGTCTCCATAAATACGTGCCGATTGAATGGATAAACATAAGGCAAAAAGAATCGTTCAAACTATGAATTAAAAGATCAAATCACATTTTCAGGGAATTAACTAATAGCCAGTGGCATTTATGTCACTGATTATATGTACTGATCGTAGTCCCAAAATTTTCTTGTATTTGTCAAAATAATTTAGTTTATTTAACACTATTTCAGGCAGTAAATGTGAAAAAAGACTTCAGTTTAACAAAGAAAAACCTCGCTAAAAAAGTTTTGGTTATAAATCTGTGACAAAAGTAAATTATATTTAATAATCATTTATAGTTTAGTAATTTAGGAAAGTCAGTATTTAGGAAATTAAAGAATATTTTACATGAATCTAATTACAAATTATAAAATGACAATGAGTCTTTTGTGATGTCTCAATTTTTAACATAATAAAATGAACTCTAAAAGGGACAACAACAAAAATAAATAAAGTAAAATGGAATAGTATTAAAATTCTGATGTTAGTATATGAAAACTAAATTATATTAAAATAACAATTGAGCTGTAGCTCTCCTTTGACTTCTCCTATAACTCTACAATACATAAAAGTTAACTTATCTAAGAACCAATAATAGACATAAAAGTTAATTTATCTAAGAACCAATAATAGACATAAAAGTTAACTTATCTAAGAACCAATAATAGTTTGCTTTTAATAGTGCCATTCATCCCAGATTCTGAATAAATATTCTTAAAGGCATCCCTCTGTTTTTATCAATGAGAATTCAAATGCTGACATGGCTTTTCATGTTGACTAAATGCATAAATAGATGGACAATAACAGGTCTCAGCAGGAAAGAAGCCATGATCTCAGCTTCCAGTTCACTGCTCTCTACACGAGATTCATTCATTAACTTCTTTATTTATTCATTAATATTTATTGAGAGTTTGCTACAGCCCAGGTCCTGGGGAAGGCCTTGGCAATACAATGTTCGGCAAAAGAGAGACAATTCCGTAAGGAAGTGTTGATTTCATCCATACAGTTTTTTGTTTAGTCACTTGTAAGATAAAATTGTATCTTCCCATTGTCAAAACATTCTACACTGGGTAAACTGGTTCTCTGTAGTTATTCTAGCAATTTAAACACAAACTTATCTTTTCCTTTATCAAACATATTTTTCCCTTTTTGTTTACCATATCCCTCTACTTCTGATTTTACAGAGATAAATGATTATACATTTATTTAAAGTCTTTGTTTCTTCTTGACTGTTTGAAACAGATAGCTCCCAAGCAGGGTGACACACTAGCTCACACTGAAGTCCAGTGCTTATGGATTGATGGATTGATGTTTACCCTTTACCAGAAGACAAACCTGAAACAGTCCAATGGGCCTTACCTTCCTCCACGGCGACAGTCTTTTCTGAGGCTGGTGATGGGGGTGGAGAAGGAGGCAGATTAGCTGTCTCTTCAGCTGCTAAAGATCAAACAGTGAAAAAGTGAGATACGACAATTAATCCTTTTAGGCCAGTGTATGTGTAGGCAGTTCTGCCATCTGTAAAAAGGCCTCTCTATGAAATTCAGGAAAAGATTCAATAGTAAGCTGCACCTGACTTATTTTTAGCTCCATTACCTGATTCACATATTTTTGAAAACCTAAAAAGAAGAGCACTTAATATTTAAAAATAACCTTTTTGTCTTCTCCATAAAAAATGGATTAGAGATGCCTGCTAAAATTCTATCATTAATCCCATTAACCTGTGTCTGCTTATTTGATTAACAAAGTATTTTATCCTGGCCCCTAGCTACTATATTCAAACACACACAGGCAGGCATTTTAGTTTAGATTTGGCTTGATGGACTGAAAAAATATTAGAATTCTTTATTGTTCAACTTCTTGATCCAGAAACAAATGTTACCTTGATTATTCACAGTTACTTTAGGTAATGTATTTTTTAAATAACATTTTGTCTAATATCGAAACCCATCATCTGTATGTATTCTCAGAAAAGAAGAATGAAGCTGTCATAGCTGGAGGCAACCTTCAGACAGAAACCGTGTACCAGTGGGAGCTGAGTAATCTTCTGTCCTGGGCATTATACATGAAGAACCAAAGAGAAAGGGTCTGAAAGATGTAATTCATTCAGTTAACTCTAAGTTTCCTCTTCAAGACACTTTATAGCCACTCATCTGAAGTAAGTGATTTCAAAAGGAAAGATTTAATAGTCAACGCCAGTGGTAAAATTTATTTTAAAAGGTTATGTAAATTTTTATTCATAAAGCAGTTAGCAGAAGCGGTATTGGGATGACAGGTGACACCAGTTCCTTGAGCCTGTGACCTTCACATGGCACACTTTATGGTTTCAGATTGAGAAGGAAAATGTAGGGCTTTCTTTTATTTCAGAGCGAACTACAGACAAAAGGTGAAATGTTTCAGATAAAAGTCCCCTCTCTGTTCTAGGAGAAAAATAATTGATAATCAAAGTACATTTGCTTAAAAATAATGAGAATATTTTAGATTATTATTCTGGGAAAGCAGAATTTTTATTGTTTAATTTTTTAATAGACAACTGAGGAGTTACTGATCAGAAAATCAAATATGAAGAATACATTAGACTACATGGGAAAAAAAGGATATGTTCTATTTTTAGGCTTTAGAAACCATACTTTCCTATGGATTACATCTATGTACTTATGAAATGAACCTATATGTTGACCCTGAGAGAGTTTCCTTTCTTGTGTCTTAGCATCTCCATCCATCAATCTACCTACTTACTATCTATCTATGGAAAGTAAGGGCAGTAAGTCCTGGGCAGAGAGTGTTTTTGTTGGCAAGCACCATTGCATTACTTGTTTGTTTGGCTCTGGGAGACATTTTACTTGTGACCAAGGGAGAGAGAAATGCCATCTGAGTGTCCTTAAATGAACCAAGTAAAGACCAGTACCTTATATGGGATACAAAGTCACTGGTGACAAAGCTCTGGCTGTAGGTTTTATGAATCTGGTTCAGGGAGACTATAGTATAAACAATCACTTACCAAAACCCACAAAGGGAAACAATTATATCTAATTAAAATATTAATGTATTTTCCTTATTAGTGAGGGCCATGATATAACTTTCAACAATGAAGATAAATTATTAAAAAATGCGTTGGCTTTATTTTTATAATAAGTATCTTGTGTGGTCTGGAAACGAAAAATTGAGGGTAATTTAGGGGCAAAGTCTAACTATAAGCTTAACACCCTAAATACTACTCAAATACCACCATGGCCCTGCTGAGAAAGGTGAAAGTATGTCCCGGTGCATCCCAGCAGAGGTTTCTGATGAATGTTTGCGTAAAGAGGAAGAACAAGATACAGCCTATCTTTGAACATGAAGATGCGACCCTGGATCAGGTGTAGCAGACACAGCCCCCGATCCGAGGGTCTTTCTCATTTACCTAAAGGCAGAGCTGCAGGCGGATCTTTATGCTGAGCTTCCTTCTCCTGTTCGCCTTTCAGGACCGCTACAGCCTCAGCCGTGACTACTTGAACTATCCTTGCAGATACCTCTTCTGTAATAAATAGTAACAAAATAAAATAAAATGATGAGGCATGCAGTCAGTTAGAATTTCATTCGCTTTGTCTCCCCCTCCCAAAAAATACAACAGAATTCCTTAAATTGCAGATAAAACACAAATACATATATTGTAACCATAAAAAGAAAAATGAGAAAAGAAACAGGATTGGCAGTCTAAGCAAAATCAACACAGAAGGAAAGAAAAATAATTAACAGGTGGGGCTGTTCATTTTTAAAAAGCTGTTTATATAAACAGAAAAAAAATAATTATTTTGTACCTAGGAAAACAAATTCAAAGAGAATAATTCATTTCGGATTTAACTTAAAATATGTTTTATAGTTTGTTACAGTTTTCTAGAAAAGTATCATAACAATAAATTTCTATGCTGATTTGCAGAAATACCATGATTTAAAACCTAACCAAGATGCCTCAAAATATGAATTTGTAATTAAACAGCATTATCCAGATCAGTGTAAATAAGACCAATTCGGAAAAACCTGAGAAGATATAGTTTGAATGAAATACACGGAAATGATATATCAGATGGTGTCTTTCTTAAGAGTTACTACTTTTCTAGACAGCAGATGTTTTAAAGATCTTTGAGGTCATATGATATACACTCACCTAGTCAGTACATAATAAAGGGGGGCGGGGGGAGGCTCCATCAATAAAGTGATCGGTCGGTGAGATGCCAGGTAACTAGTTTTTGGCCTAAAGTGGCATCCATTGGAGCATATCAGTGCTAATTTTATATAATGTAGTCAGAAAAAGTCAAGATATAATGTTCCAAATATCAACTAAAAATGAAAGCAGCTTTTTGAGCTTAAAAATATATTCCAGGTTAGGAATAAATTCTTCAGAATTCAGCTTTTCATTATCTTTATATAAAATGTCTATCATACTAGGAAATAAACCTACTTATAGCCCAGATAGAAACAAGTTGAATTTGTCAAGGGGGGGGAGGGGGCAGAGAATAAAGTGAGGTTTATTCTCATAATTTTAGTCAAAATCTTAGAATAAATATTCCATTGAAATTTTATTTGGCTCATGATCAGAATTTGCCCATTCACAAGCAGACTGGGGAGATCTGCCTGTTTTACCTGGTTCGTTCAGAGTTAGCCTCCTCTGGAAGGTCTTCTTAACCCCACCAGGATCATGGAGAATACAGTGCTTAAAAACCCAGCTTTTTGGATGAGCTTCACAAGGCACGATAACCCTGTCTACTCCTGGGGACGATCAGCCACATTCAAATTCTTTTTTCAGACTACATTTTAATTTTTCATTGCTTACTATTTCCACCTCTTTTTTCCCTTTTCCATTTCCTACTCTATTTTTTTTGTTATTTCCCCTCCCCCCAATCATTATATGTACAAAATTATGAATAGGATCTAGTTGTTCAGAAGATTAAAGATGAATCTAGATTATACATAAATTGGGAAATTAGTATTCATTGTATATAATTGAGAGGTAACACTGATCTTCACAGCTAAAAACATGACACTTCTTACTGTAAACTGATAATTTGAAAGGCTCAATTATCTTTCTTTCGAATGTCTAAAGTTTTCTGGAAGTGGACATTTTCAGTTTATGTTTGACATTGACTTAAAGAGTGTATGTGATATGTACTCTATTCTCTCCTTTGTTAATGTCAGGATTTCAATGTAATTAACTAACAGTTTTTGCATTGCAAGGAGAACCTTATAACCAGTATTTGAATTTAACTTGTTACTTTTTTATCAGTAGTGTCATTATAGTTATGAGACAGTAATACAAAAACATCTTAAGGCACAGCTTAAAGTCATGTCACCTGAGTAAAACGAATGACGACTTGGAAATAATCTGTTAAGTGACCTGCCTAAAAATCAGCTGGAAGAAAACCATCAAAAGCAATTTCTTTAAAACAATTCATCATATAACATCTAATAACCGTTATAAATTTTAGGCTGATATGAAATAAAGAATTTAAAAATACAACTAAGGGAACAGATGATAACAGATCACAACTATAGAGATAAACATCTGAAGGTAAAAAGTAAAGTCTTTTAAAAACTTATTCTGAGCAACAGAGATAGGGTTAGTATTCTAAAAACAGTATCAAAGCAGTCCTAGGTAAATAAAATGAATTCTGGTATGAAATAATAGTTTTTCTTTGTATTGGGGAAATATACTGGTGGAAACATAAACAGGAGGTAAGTAGGTGTAAGAAACAAAGTGAGACAAGCTCTCATCCACAGAAACCTATTTGATAATACAAGAAAAATGTCATGCTAAGCTATTTACATTTCACCTAACTAATGAATAAACATCCTACTGTGATACAAGGTTATTAAATAATCTGTTACATTAGGTACTTTTATTTCCTATCAGTATTATTTAATCTCCATAATTGTACATTTTTCAGATGGGGAAACTGGCAAAATAATGGATAAAGGCAACTTACTGTCCCATTTGGGTGTCACCTGATTTACATCAGTGTAGTAATAATAGTTTATACAATAGTAGGTTCTGGTGTCAGAAAACCTGGAATCAAATTCTGCCTTTCTCTCTTAGTAGCCACAAGTAAGTGACAATCTCTCTAACCTTCAGATCCCCTGTCTGCTAAGGGGAATGAAAGTGGCATTCCTATTTTAATGTGTTGTGGCAATTAAATGAAATAATATATATCAAATGCTAATTTAAATTACATAACACTTTTAATAACTCTTGCTGTCATGTTGACATCTAAGTCTATGATCATCGTTTGATTGACAGCATGTAGATAAAGACTTGAAAGTTTTTGTCACGCATTGAGATGATTCTGTCATTTTTCCCAGTGAGTACGTCCTGCCTGAATGTTGGGTCACTGCCTATCAGGCTCATACCACTTATTATTTAAACAAAAATGATATAGTAAATTTTACTCTACTGTTGTACCATACTATTCAGCATTTATAATGGTTCCAGTGCTCTGGTTTTTCTATGACACTGATTCATGCTACACCAGTGCTACGCTCTTCTGGTCACAGTATTATTATATCAGAAGTTTTAAGACAGTCTCAGGCCTGTTTTTTGGCACATATTTTTAGTTTAGTTATTTTGCTATATTAATCTATCAATATTGCTTGGTTCACTTATTAAAAAAAAAAAAAAAAAAAAAAG